AATCAATATCAATCAAATGTCCAACGATAGATCAATTTGCTGTGTATTTGAGTAAAGTGGTGTTTTGAATTCTAAAGATACTGGACAAAGGGTTCAGTTACCCATTCTAGGTGTCTATCCACTATGTCGGGTCCAGCCTTTTCCCCCCTCATTCCCATTTAATAGTAGCTATAACCCCTGAAACTGAAAACGGTTGGTCACAGTTTCAGAGAAGCGCAAACATGTTTTCGGCTGATCCCTCTAACTGAGTCTACTTCTGATCGCAATATCATCTCTGCCAAGTTATTGGATCTTTACCATTTAGCACTACAAAATCTTCAAGCTGAAAAAGTGTCAGCAGAACACATCCCTCATCCACTCAAAATGCTCCCCACTAAGAAAAAGGGTCGTCTCGTTCCCTTGCGTCCCCTGAATTGCAGCTTTCAGCTTGTGGTTGGAGCACACCCCCATGCTTGTTAGCGCCATGCGAGTGCCATGACTCTCCAATCTTGGCTTTCACATGTGGCTCAACTCTCCGTGGCACACAATTCGTGGCGTTCATCATGCATCTCCCTGGGAACCACTTTCATTGTTTACTTTGGATCACACCTCGTTAAAGCGCATTACAACCTCAATTCTTGCCCAATGACGACAACGGTTGTCTATATCCATCCCACAGCTAATTGATCATTTTCACCATACGTCTCTATCTTAGAATTTCACTAAATCAACCTCAAATTATCGCCTTTCTCTTCCTCGTCTTCTCATAAACCTGTTTACTGTCCATCTCCGCTCGCCGGACCCACGTTGAGCACAATGGTACTTCTTCCATGACGGAGAATCCCTGACAAGTGACGCCCGTCCCAGCTAACGCCGTTGTTTTCAGTCTGTGCCGATAACATACAAGCCTTCTCCTCTGGGCTATGGCTCTTCACCTACTCGAAGCTCTCCATTTCGTCGCGCCGAGTCACCTGCATCGCCCTCTCCCCTAAGACAAACCACGCCCACTGGATCACCGACAAAGGCAGGACCCTTCGGCTCGACCTCGCGCTTTGCTAGACCAACAACTCCCACAAGCACACAACCCAGCTGGACACCAAAGGCCAAGACACCTGTTAGAGACGAGATGAATTCTTCGCCTTCGCGTATGTCTTCGGTGGCCGTGGCCCCAAGGACCCCAGTATCGAAGTCGCTTGGCAATGGCAATGCGCTATCGCAACTGCAAGCAACCCAAGTCCGAACATTGCGAGATGCTTTCCAGATCATGGACCGAGATTGTGATGGTGTCGTGAACCGCGAGGATGTTACTGACATGCTCAACCAGCTGGGTATGAACCACCAGAATGATGAATGAGATACCACTAGCTAACAATCTCAACAGGCCTGCCTTCAAACCCTGCCGATGTATCCAAATTCTTTCCTCCATCAGCACCCCAAACAATCACTCTCGCAGTATTCCTCAACTCGCTTGCCGATGCACTTGCAGCACTTTCACCAAGCGCCGAGCTGCTGTCTGCCTTCTCTGCCTTTGACGACGATGACAGCGGTCAGGTCGACTTGGTCGAGCTGCGAAAAGCCCTTCTTGATACAGCACCCGAGCCCGGCGAGAAGGCTCTGACTGCCAGTGAAGTTGATAAGATCATGAATGGTTTCACTGGACGACGAGCTTTCAACCGTAATATGAACGCCCACCTTGGTGCCAAGAGAGGCGAGGTGTTCAAGTACCAGGAATTTGTTGGTTCCATCATGGGCTCCAACAACGGTTCGGATAACCAGTCTCATGATAATGGGGATGATGAAGCTTATTTGTAAAGCCTACCTTCTCTACAGGGGTAAGCCCGTTCAGACACAACTCGTTCATTTCGACGCAGTTAAGTGTTGGTGCCGTCGATATCAATCCGCGTTTCCTCTAGCGCAGCTCTGAGGATACCTAAGGATACCATAAGGTTTGTGGGGCACAGAGCTTGGTAGGAGTCAGTGTAGCTATTTTGGGTTTACTTTATGTAACTTTATGGCGGCTTTTGTAACGGAAAAGGGTGCTCGGCTCGATGGGTATGGTTTATGGTTGGGATAGCACTTGGTAACAACTATAGGACATCGGATGAGAACACGATTAATTACTCGGTATTGAGACTTCTTATTCCAGGAGTATAGCAGTGGCTTTTGACTCCATTCTTAAGAAACAGTCAATGAGGACTCAGCTTACTTCCTAGCTTCATGGCCAACTATAACCCTCCCCGGACAAAAGGGGGTTCAAGACAGGGGATTCTGAGACTTTCAGTAGAGCTGGGGCTTTCAGGGTGCAGCATATTGCCTGAACTCTAAGCAGCGACTTGAAAGAGTAATTTCTCAGCCATTTGACATTCTACACACACAGTTGAGAAGTTGTCCCTTCTGACGATTGTTGGTGATGGGCAGGATAGGGCGTTGCAATCAGTCGAACAGCCCAGGATTCTCGTTGGACTTGAAATCTTAAGCAACTCGCCTAACTTCCATTCAAACAGTTTACTATGTAGGGCTATATGAGCACAAAGAATGTGAAGAATGAGTACAGCTTCGGCGACGGTAGCCTTTCTATCAGTCAAAGGGTACATCTTGAGTCAGGAACAAGAAAGACGATGAGAATCTCGAAAACATCTCATACATCGTAAACAAGTTACGTGAATAGCCAATGCAAGAGCTAAAACAGAGTATATTCCTAGATGTACATTTGTATCACCTCTTGAGTGACACGGCTTTATATAATATTTATGCCAGTGTCCTCGGCTACGCGGACATTTCCTGCCGAGTCAACACTGTCCATCTTGAGACTTTGACTTTGTGTCATGTCAACGGTAGCAAACATTGATATTACTATTGTTGTGTAATGTTAGGCGTTTTCCGAAGTCGTGCAGCACCCCGCCAGGGTGATTTGGTTGCACGTGGAAGAATTGTGTTGATGATCGTTCAGTAAGACATCTGGAGGCATCCAGCCATCCAACCCGTGTAAAACAAATGTGTTGGACGATTGCCCGCCTGCTGAGCTCGCTGTGTCTGCGTATAGAAAAATGTAGCCCCGGATTCATATCCGTGGACTGCAATGATTTGCAGCCAAGCGAAACAGGCCCCTCAAGGATGCAAGAGCAGGCAATCGACCCGCCACCTCCTCTTGAATGAGATGGAGACTGAGGAGACTGCAGCAAAGTGACTGGCGTTGAGCAGTTTGGCGAGGACCAGGAAAGGCTTGTGAGAGCGCCTAAAAGCAACCTGTAAGAATTGAGGATGGCTGGAGAAACGTTGTCAAGGGTCCTCGGCCCCACTGAACCTTCTAGAATAGATGACGTTTGGATAAGCGCAAGTCCTCGATATTAGGTTAGTCATTTGCGGGCCGGGGCCTGGCCACGGACACTAAAACGATTAGTTGAGTTTACGCGGGGTGAGACGTTGACAGCTGCAAATTAATTGACGGATTATTTTGTCATCTCTTTGTTCTCCCTCTGTGCCTTGGTCTTGGGTTGTGACATTCTGTCATTGATCGGTGATTGCGGAGCCTGTCATTGGGGCAATGCTGTAAAGAAAGACAAGTTTTGATGCTTGTGATGCTGTCATAGGTGGTAGTTTGAGATTGATGGACTATTCCCAACCTCTTGTACGGACTAGCTTGGTTGGCTCAACTGTCAATGAGGACAACTCACTGCTACTAACATGCAGATTTAGACTCAGAACCCCTATCATGTGTATTTTCTGTCAATTGAATTGTCATTACACATGGTCCTTGCTTCATTGGTTCTGACCTGTGGTCCGTGATAATTCCAGACAGACAAGGTCCCTTCCGCGGTGGGGGTTGAAAGCGCGTGGCGACCAGGCATACTAAATGGATGTGATTGAATTGAAATCTGTCACTGTATGGAACTGTCAATGTCACTGGGGAACGAAGTACAAGATACTCGCACCGCAGGCAAACATGTCCTGTGTTGCCAAAGTCTCCGAGAGCCGATGGAATGAAATGACAGTCCTACACTGACATTGACGTGATTCCGGCAGTACAGTACGATACACAATTTTATTCTCATTAGACTTATTCAGGCCAGACCAGGCTATGTCTCAGTGGTCAACCCAACTTAAACGCTCAGGCTCCCGTGGTGAGCCGGCAACGATGTACACACGTCTAGAGACACCTGCAGAACCCAGCCTTTTTTTTCACAATTTGGAGTGATCCGACAGGCTGAGATTTGGAAAACGGGTTACTGCACTAGGAAGTCAGGCAGTTTGTGTCGATTTTGACACATAGTCCTGTCCATCCTAGTTCGGCCTTTTGGCCTCTGTTGAGAGAGAGAGCGGCTGATAAATCTGCTGTGCTGGGCTGGGCTCCATGGGATTGACATGGCCGTTGTCGCTTGTCACTCGTCACTGCCATAGCCCGGTTCGCTCATATTAACTGGAGGACTCAAACTAATTAACTAGGTACCTAAGTTAGCAGCTGAATGCTGGTTCAGGCTGTGCTCTGCGTATTGGTTCAACAAGGGTTCTTTTCCTTCATCATCTCATCACTTTCCTCTTCCCTGCCCCCAGATTGTTTTCTTCTTCCTCTTTCCTCTGGATCACCTTTTTGTCATCTGCTTGTCTTGACTTCTTCCTTGTCTCTGTATTCCTACCTACCTAGGTATCTACCTTATGCCTTCACTCTTGTAGTCCTCTCTCATCACTGCTCCGGTCCTCCTCCGTCTGTCTAGGTAGTAAGGTATTCGGCATTCCTACTACACTTAACTTGACTCGACCCCTTTTAGGCTCAGAGCCGCACGACCGTTCCCGGAGCCACCAGTAATAAAGTCCAGTCCCAGTCCAGTCCAGCCAGGAACTGGAAGTCGACCGGCCCCGAAAAAAAAAACTCGGTTTTTTTTTAACGCCCGTTTAGGGCATCGACTCGGTCAAGTAAAGTATCCGGCATAAGCTTGTTACGGGGATTCTTGGGGATTCTTCCATCCCGTCTACCTAAAAGTATTAGTTTTCTATCTGTTTGAACCAAACTTTGTTTGGCTCAAATGAAGAACTTCTTTGGTAGCGGCAAGAAGCCAACGTCCTCCACTCCTCCTCCTCTTTCCTCTACTAGGAAATCCGCCACTTTCGAGGAGCGCGACCGTGAGAACCACGATCCGGCCGAACAACCTCCCGCATACTCGGAGCCTTCTTCTCCTGCGAGAGCAAAGTCGCCTTCAAAGCCTTCAAAGAGACTATCTCGGCCCGCTTCTTACGCCGCCGAGTCCACAAAATCTTCCTCGCGTTCTTCTAGACTGTCGAGGCAATCTACCGACCCGGGCCATTCTCACTCCCATTCTTCCTCTCGTCGGCACAAATACGAGCCCGATACCCATCCGCTCAACCTCCCTCCCGAAGAACGAAAGCGATTATCCGCTCTCGCCGCTGCAATGAACGGTAACTCCATGGATGTCGACAGCGAGCCTGTTAATGGCGCTCGTTCAACTACTCCTCCCAACCCGAAAGCCCAGACCAACTTTTCCGTCCCTATTCCCAACGGCTCCAGTCATGATGACGGCGCCCCTCCGCCACCTCCTCACAAATCCAACCCTGGAAGCCCAACAATTACGCCTGAGGAAGATGCCGAAGCCTACAAGGCTGCTGGTAACCGATTTTTCAAGGAGAAGAACTACTACAAGGCTATCGAACAGTACAGCAAAGGTATGCATCGCCACCCGCCATCAGGGTCCTCTTATTTCCAGGACTTTTCAGCCTGGCTGAATGCATCTCCAAATGCTGACCCAAAATCACAGCTGTCGATCTGTTCCCCTTCTCCGCTACTTATCTAGGCAACCGAGCTGCTGCTTATATGTCTAATGGCCAATATGAGCATGCTCTTGAAGACTGCTCCAGGGCTGCCGATTATGATCCTCAGAATGCCAAGATTCTTCTGCGTTTGGCCCGTATCTATACTGCTATGGGCCGACCGGAGGAAGCCATGACAACCTTCAACCGCATTGACCCCCCACCATCTGCTAAGGACATGGCCCCTGCGAAGGAGATGTTGCATCATATTCAGTCTGCCCGTGATATTCTCGCACGTGGATCTGGATCTGGCATGTCCATGGTGCTTCATGCTCTCGACCTGGCTGAGCGCGGCCTGGGTCCTAGTGTCAGCAAGCCCCGCAAGTGGCAGCTTATGCGCGGAGAGGCTTATCTATTAATGGGACGGGAAAACTCATTGGGAGAGGCGCAAAACATTGCTATGAACCTCCTCCGAAACAACAGCCAGGATCCTGAGGCTCTTGTTCTCAGAGGACGTGTTCTCTATGGTCAGGGCGAGAACGATAAGGCTATCCAGTTCTTCCGTATGGCTATTAACTGTGATCCTGATTTCCGTGATGCTGTCAAGTGGCTCCGAATTGTCCAAAGACTTGATCGCATGAAGGAGGAGGGCAACACCGACTTCAAGGCAGGTCGTCTACAACAAGCCATCGAGAAGTATACCAATGCTCTGGAAATTGACCCTTCCAATAAGAGCATGAACTCGAAGCTGTTGCAGAACCGGGCACAATGCAAGATCAAGCTCAAGCAGTACGACGATGCCATCGCCGACTGTGAGCGGGCCATTAACCTTGACCCTGGTTACACGAAGGCCCGTAAGACCAAGGCCAATGCTTTGGGCGGTGCCGAGAGGTGGGAAGACGCCGTTAAGGAGTGGAAGGCCATACAGGAGCTTGATCCAGAGGACCGTACTATCATGCGAGAGATCCGCAAGGCGGAGCTTGAGCTCAAGAAGGCCCAACGCAAGGACTACTATAAGATCGTTGGTGTTGAGAAGACGGCTACAGGTGACGAGATCAAGAAGGCTTATCGCAAGATGGCTGTTAAGCTCCACCCTGACAAGAACCCCGGTGACCCTCATGCCGAGGAGAAGTTCAAGGACTTGCAGGAGGCTTACGAGTGCTTGAGCGACCCTCAGTAAGTAATCTCTTAGACCTACCGACTAGATAAGTTACTGATACCATTTAGGAAACGTGCTGCTTACGACAACGGCGATGATCTTATGGACCCCAACGATATGTTCGGTGGCGGTGGCATGGGAGGAGGTATGGGCGGCATCGACCCGGAGATCCTCTTCAGCATGATGGGCCAGCAGGGCGGTTTCGGCGGCGGCGGTTTCCGATCTGCTGGAGGCTTCCCCGGCGGTGGCGGCGGCGGCGCCCATTTCAACTTTGGTGGTGCTGACCCCAGGCAACGTGGAGGATTCCCCGGCGGTTTCAACTTTTCATGACCAGCCGGCGCGGATGATGACGATGACGACCTATGGGATAGTGAGGATGAGGATGCGGGCTTCTATGATGAAGAAGACGAGGATGAGAATGGCGAAGAAGAGGAAAACGACGACTATGCAACCACCAGCGATGAGGACTTCCACCCACAGCCCCCCCGGAACAGTAAGCTCCGGGATGATCTTGAACAGCGCCGCCAAGATGCCCATGGCCGGCTGGTAGATGCTGTACGACGATACGGCAAGTTCTTCATGGCGGCAGCTGTCTTGCTCCCTTGGCAAGTGGTGATACTCATTTTGACTCTGGTTGGTTCAGCATACATATGCATGAAGCACATTCCACTCTTTGGCAGGAAAACGCCGTTGTCGTCGTTGTGAACGGCTAGCACATATAATGGGCAATTTTCACTCATCCTATGCCACACAACATAACCTTGGGGCGTTTATTTGAGGGATAGACATCAATGAATGCAGAGCAATGCTAGAGGTTAGCGAGTTGCTTGTTGTCAGGGCTTGAAGGCCTGGGATGGACAGCGGACCCTTTAGATCGGTTCCTGGGGTGTTTCACACATAAAATGTCACATCTTGGCATAATAGATGGTTGTCCGCAAAAGTTCTGATCATGTCATACATTTATGAAGATTTCAATGCTAATGATCCTTGTCATTGTGTGAGCTTGCTTGTCAATGCTGATATGAACTCCTCATGGCAGCTGTCAACGACAAAAATTGAAACATAACATTTAACGCTGCTTGCACCAGAAATAGTACATTAAGTTGCGCGGCATTACGCTCGCTTAGGGTATCATAAAATCTGCGGTTCTACTGTAATCGCAACCGCTTGAAATAAACTTGCTCGTAGCCTGAGCAACATGGCCAATCATCATAGTCATCCAACTCCGCCAACCCCTCAAGCAGAAGACGACGAGGCATGGTTAGTAGCATTACCATTCTGTTGCAGCTGCTCACCGTTTCTCCTCCCAGATGGCACGCCTCCAGTGGCCTCGACGACCTGGGCCACATCGTCGCGCAACTCAGGCATGGCCGTGGTGATATTCTCAGCCAGGATGTCGCGAAAGGTTCCAAAGGCGTTGAGTTTGCCGCGCATAAGTTGATTACCACGGCGCACGAGCTCGACGAATTCTCGGGTGTAGATATCCGGGTTACGGCCATGCTCGACATATTCGACAAGTTCTGGAGGCACTGAAGGCAGGTTGTTTGGGGGAGAGGCGGAGGAGTGAACAGTGCGAAGGGAGTCGGAGAGGGTTTTGCTGTACATTCTTAGTCGGGGTTCTAAAGGCAGGAGTAGGAAGAGATGCTACATTTCGTTGATGAGGACTTCTCTACTGGACCGGCCGACGGAGTCGTAGGTTGAGACTTGTACCATTATTTGGTAGAGATCTTGGATGATGTCCTTGAGCTGTTCTACGCGGGAGTTAACGCACGTTGATAATTCAGAATATCATGACACCTACGCTCAAGGGCATTGTGGTCTACGCGATCGACAGGCGCCATGGTGAAGGTGTCGTGGGTACGAATTGGACGAGCCGCCTTTTGGGTTAAAAATATGATACTCTGAATGCTTTGCGACGCTTTGTCTAAGGGAATCTAAGCTTCGTGAGTAAAGTGAATGACGGACTAATTACTACTCCGGATCCCTGCCGGGGGCGGGAAGTGGGGTGTGGAAAGGTGGGGTATCTTCCTTATCAGTGACATGAGCCTCTTGCAACGACATCAAACTTGGACCTAAACAATCGTCCACTCACTAATGGCTTTCTCTTATGTGAAGAGCCTGGCTTCTCATATTTAGGGCTACGGCTAGTGACTCTGTGTATCTCAGCTGCTTATTTCACTTCTCCACCATCCGTGGCCTAGCCTGGCCGACAGGTCAAGGACAACCGTCTGAAATGTGACCAGCCATCCTTTGGTGACACAGTCTACCGGGATATTGCTGAAAGCTATACTTGCGGATGCTCATTAAGCGGTGAGACTCAAAGGACTGCTGCTCTCGCCATACAAAGTAAATGATAACTGGTTTGACATAGCCTAGGTTTTTTAACTGAATAAACTGCCACTCAGCAATCATGGCATAAAGGGTGACAAAGAACTGATTGAGAGCTGATAAAGAAATATCTAGGGCTTCTTTTGTTCATTAGACTTAACTTTGAAGCCAAGCGTGTGTAAATGATCGATCTTACCACACCAAGCCTACGGTAGTAACCAGAGGTCGGTTGTCTACCAACGATAAACTGTCATGGTCTGCTTGCGAATATCGAATACAAGAAATATTTCAACCCCATTCGTCGTTTATAGCCTGCAGATTCCTGCGTAACTTTCCAGTTTCTCAAGGAGTGGTCTCGTCTCACCGCCGGCAGGCGAGCCAGTTTGTCGAAGAGAGGCTTATTATCAATGAATGTAGCATATTATTGGCTTCAGTACCGTTTCTCGGGTTGGGGAGACCTGGAAACTGGCCCCTATTATCATTTGTAGCTTGAAGATGGGGCAAGCTGCATATACACGCCGCAGACACTTGCATGTTTGGACACGCTGACACTGCAGGATACCATCATTCTAATGCCACTTGCTCATTTCATGACTGTGGACAAGTCGATTGGATAAGCCTCTCCGTGAAACGTTTGCTTGGTAGAGGTCACAGCACTCCTAACATGCATGAATGTGGCAATCGGGAATTTGGTAAAGTGCCTGCAGCTTGCCGTCGGGGAGGGCACCGTCTGATCTGAGCAAGGCATTTCCTTGAGTCGCTCTATTGGTAGATCTTAGTTAGCAGCAGTGACTCTAGTGAAGACTAGCCAAGGTTCCGTATACTTTGCTTTTCTTGTAAGACAATGTCCATCAGATATCACTTATGGACATGTTAGCTGCAGACTCTAAAACAGACATGGGGATGTAGAGTCTTTGTTCACTCTATGACATGGCTCAGCCATTGCATGAGAGCCGGCATTATGCTGTTTGGAGGTTAATGCATGTCTGATACCAGAGTCTCAAATAATGTCTTTGCATTGGTGTGTTGAGTCCCTGGTATAAAGTAGATGGCATGCCCCTGAGTCTCTGGTCACTCGACATCACCTTGATGCTAAGCAATTCCTAGTCACGAATAATCTATTAAGCATCAGCGTTATATCTCCATCAGCAATCTTACCTATCGAACGTTCATAACATCCCCCATCCTCCTATCAGACGCCGTCATGACCAAGTCCCCCGACCAAACTCTGGACTCGGTAGCTGTGTTTCCGCACAGCTACCGGGAAGGGGCCAGGTGTATTGGGTGGGCTAAATCCCAAGGTCGTCAGTGCAATCGAATAATTGGTATGGCCAAGATAAGGGAGCATGAGAGCCTCATGGCGAGGCTAAATAGTGTGCCCCTGGAACATCGTGCGGATCACCCACGCTTAGAAGAGGCCGTGAAACTCCTTCTGTGCTATCAACACAAGCCCACTGATTTCGATAAGGAGCTGGAAGATGCTTCGCTGAAGTTTCGAGACGCAGCAGAAGCAGCGAAGAAAGCTGAGGTGGCCCAAGTCAAGGTATGTGACTGTCCTGTTCACGTTGTCGTGCTTGGCTCCTAACATGAACCAGCAGGAGAAGCCCGTTCCCCAGAAACGGTCCGGCATACTTCGGAAGCCAACTGTCCAGTTCGCCGCTCCATTTCCGCTTCCTGTGACTCGTCGAAGAGCCGAGTTGGCCGAAGGATCTGCAGCGAACTCGGGGAGACCTAGGCGCCGGCTTCAAGCCAGCGACATCCCTTCTGAGCCTGACTCTGAGTCTGGCCCTGATTCTGATTCTAGCTCAGAATCGGAAAGTGATGTCGGCGACGTTGTTGAGATCCATCCCCTGGAGGCCTGGGAGCGGTACGACTCCAAGTGGAAGACGATAGACAAATCTGGATTGGAAGAAGCGCTTGTAAGTAACAGACTATGCTCCTGTGTCTATAGCATGACTAACGATACCTTCACCATAGCCTGTAGTATGGCAAGTGCCGTGGCCGGTGACTTCAGGCAAGCACTGGCATGTCGGCAAAGAAGAGGTCGTGGGGTTCTTCAATAATATTGCTGATGAGCATGACAAGGCCGGTTGCAAGGCCATATTCTTGCATGAACGCATGCGCTGGTGTTCTAGAAAGGTCAAGGACACGTTTGGCCGAGTGTTTTATCGAACAACTTGGAAAGATGAGTTGAGGATGATTTCTTCAGTTGCTAAGGAGTTCGAGAAGCTGTACTCGGAGTAGTCTTAGTGTGATAATGGCTTGGTAGTCTGTGGCGGTGGAGTATTGATGGGCTTATGGGTTCTGTTTATGTTTCTATTCCCTTCTATGGACGGGTATTACATAAAAATACAATTACGTGCTAATTAAGGCGGGTGGCCCAGGTCTTCTCAGTGGGAGTCTGCGTTTCCTCTCCCGCTGCTCAAGCGGGTTCCCGTTCCCTCGTACTATTCCTCCATCAACATCCGTGGCCAACCAAAAGTGAGCAGTCTCTAGAACTTCTCAAATAAGCCATAATTTCCTCGCCTTTTGCATTTCATTTCATTTCATTTCATTTCTTGTCATTTCTTTTGTATGCCTGGCACTCTAATTCCTCGACCATACTTTGAAGATGTCGGGCGAGAACAATTCCGAGAGTGACCCAACACTCGACGATACACTCGAGCAGGGTGAGACGATGATAGATGCTGCTCCAGACAACCAACAAAAATGGTTAAAGCCAGATGAAATGCCTACGCTGGACAAGCTGGCAGCAAGATGCGTCATGGCTACTGGGCTCACAGCTCTGACCCCCCGCTTGACGGCTCAAGAGTCATTCTGCGAGCTACTCCGTTGGTGGTAAGTCACAGCGATATCTAAGCCTGGTCATATCACTGAATCTGACATGACGTCTTATAGGAAAGACAAGATCATGGAGTCTTCTGGCCTGCAGCTGACCGACTTTGTCATCACCATGAAAAGGCGTGGAAACCACTCCGATGCAAAGATCCCCGCAGAGATCGCTTTCACCGCGCAAGATGGATCTGGAAAGCCTCTTGGATATGTTCACTACATGAACAGCAGAGATGGCAAGGGCGGCACCGTCACAGTCGCTGTACGAGACGTGACTCCTCTGCAGCCCAGCATGGTAGTCCCTAATCTCGAGCGGCCTAAGGAGCCTCAAGATGTTCGATTCACCCACCGTTCAGAACTCGGCTTAGGAAGGGCCGTTCTCAACTTCTTAGGAGCCGGCACAAACCACGGTGTTATGTGCAGAACCGGGGGTTACAAATACAGATTCAACTTTGGCCCAGAAGGTCAGCTCATGGCCGTCCTGACAGTCATGGACCAAGTCAAGAACAATGAGTTTCGACGATTGACAGCCCCAAAGGGCAGTCGATATGTCCCTTTTCAGCCACATCCGGAGACTGACACCGTCTTCGTCATTGGCGTTGATAGGGACGCACTGGGGAGAGGCGGGCGAGGCAAATACATCTACCGCTCCAAGGTCACCCCCAGAGAGTTCAACATCTGGTGCGAACCCGCCTTATTTCTACAGGACATCAAAAATGCCGATATCGTCAAGACTGAGTTGGGCGATCTGATCCTTGATTCCAGGTCTCGAGGCAAAATCTACCTCGAAGGCTTTCTCCTGAGTGACACCACCCGCAGGGGCTATGCCAGCTTGTCCGAGAGACCGCTCAGATTCGGTTACAACATCCTCTACGGAACTCCAGATGAGAGAATGAAGCACATGAGTTCGCTTGAGGAAGAGTGTCGAGCTATCATGTCCATTTAGGATCTGGCTTTGAAGCAGAGACCGAGTCTTGTGGAACACCTCAGCTCCTTGCTCGACGACTGGGGCTGGGGAGATGTTGAGCTGGCGGTGCAGTTCATCAAGAAGGATACCATCTCTCTTCTCGGAGATTATCTGTTTCTTGATCGTTCAAAGTGGTACTATCCCACCGGCTCTAAACCGGTATGTCATGAACTGCGAAGACTTTCGACTTGAGATATACTTGCTAACAATCTTTTAATAGGACCCTGAATGCGAAAAGAATCTCTCCAAATTTGGTCGACAGGCAGTAGAATTGCTAGACTCGTACTATTCCATCTTGGCGCCCTACGAAACAGTCAATAGAAAGTTATACGAGTACATTCCTCGAGTGCTCAATGAGGAGCCGGTTTCTATCCCAGACACACAGTTTGCCGCATTTGTCGACAAGGCTCTTCGGTCCTGTCTGTCTGCATGCAAGCACACAGAAAATCTCAGCGTCATGTTTTTCGACGCACGACGTCTTCCTCATTGGACTGTTTTAGTTGATGATAATGTCGTCAGAGTACCTGACAAGTGGCTCGATCAGGGAAATTTGGAGCTGATCCATAACATTCTGGGAGGTGATGAGTTACTCTCGGATTTGATGAAGTCAGTTCCGAGCATTCTGCTTCATTTCGTTCTCAAGCAGGTCCCCATTGACGAGGAATCCTGTGACAGACACAAAACCATTGCGAGGCAGAGGCTTAAGGACTATGCTCAGGAGGAGCTGAACTCTAAGATGCTGAATCTGAGCTTTGAGCCAGGCTCAAGGTCCAACTTAGCAAATGTCTCTTGGGAGACTACGTTATCCCCCCGAAATGTCTCGAGCTATCATGTCCAGCTGCATCAGACAGAAACATGCTGGGATCACCAGAACGCTGTTCTGGTTCAAGACAGTTAGTCAAACAAGCCCCTTCCTCTTCACTGGCAAAAACAAAAGCTAACAGATATATAGTCCTCCCCACAACCCTGACCTGCATCAACGACACATGCCACATCTCGGAAGTAATCATCACAAAGGATTTCCGACGATACTGCATCAAGGATTGCATTTTGGGGAAAGAGTATTTTGGAATCGTCTACAACCCGGATGAACCTCTATTCATCCCCCTCGTCACAAGTACTTTCACGGTACCGATGGACGTGAGCACTGCCGATGACTATGATGTTGAGATGGCGCTGTAGGACCTCGAAGATCTACAAAACCAACTATCTTCTTGAACGTCACCGGTCGCTCACTTCTGCCTACACTAGAGATTTCTTCGTTACCCGGGGTACATACGAAAGACCTTTCGGGTTTACATACAATCCAGGCTAGAAGAAGCAAAAGCTCGGGCATACTCTAAACGAAAAAAGAAAAAAGAAGAGAAAAATATAAGGGGGCTGGGGTAAGCTCGGTATTCCTTGAGGGAGAATGTCGACTGGTTCTTTCTGGTACATTGGCTTAGGGCTATGGCTTCTCTTGCTCTCTGGGGCGAGGTTATTTGGACCTCAGACATGGACAGACATGGACAGGCGTGAAGAGAGATTTGGTCAGATGAGGGAGGTTGGGTGCTGGCCACGGCACAGATAAAGGGGGGTGTTTCTAGAAGATCTTCGTTGGATCTTGGCAAGAAAGATGAAAGCTGGAGGTTCATTTGTTCTCACGTGCGTTCGGAGCATCTTCGAAATGTCCATTAATAGAACAGAAAGGCGTCAAGCCTCAACGCCTTTCCAGCCTTTCGATTTATAGTACGAGTTGTCAAACTAAGGTTTCCGGGTGAACCTAATCGTCCTTAAGTCTAAGCTCATACTTCAAGCCATTATCGTATCCAGTAGTGATCGCCATGGATAGTCACAGTCAGGTATCGCAAGGAAGCATTAGAGAGGGCATAGATAGTCCAACGACACGTCTCCAGATTAACTACATATCCTATCCTATCTTAAACTATTTCATACCCTGCCATATACCATCATATAAGCCAAGAGATTAATATATACATTAGAAGTGAAGATAAGGAATAACAAACCACCCTCTTCCGCGACATTAAATACCCCAGAAATAGGCATCCTCCCAATCCCACCTCGCCATGTCCTGCAAAGGAGTGTATGTATGCGATTCCAACGGCTCGCGATGAATTAAATAGTCTGTGCCCTGCTACCAGGGACAACCAATTTTTACGAGAAGCAAAGGGGTAAAAAAGAATAAAACATGAACCAATCCGGCGGCGCTATCGGGCTTTGAGTTAAATGGCTCATGCTTTTTAGATGAGAGCGACGGCACCGAGGATACCAGCCATGAAGGCAAAGACGGGAGCTTTGTTGGCGGCGGCAGCCCCAGTGGCAACGGGTTCAGGGGCAATGGTGGGAGTGGCAGGGACGGTGACCTCAGGCTGGGTGACAACCTCTGTCTCGGGAGCCTGAACAGTGGTGGGCTGAGGAGCGACAGTCTCATAGACGGTACCGCCACCAACGGTGTGGTAAACCTTGGAGTACTGAGTGACGACCTCGCCCTTGCCGATAGTCTTGACGATGGTCTCGACGGCGGGCACAGTGGTGGTAACCTTTTCGACGATGACGGAAGTGGAAGTGTAAACGTTGGTGATAACCTCACCCTCAACGGTCTTGGTGACGGTGACGGGATAAACCTCGTACTTGGTGTGGTAGACAACATCTGTCTCGTGCTTGGTAACATCGGGCTGCTTGACCTGGTCGTAGACGGTGCTGTGGACCTTCTCGACAACGTACTCGGTAGAGGTGTAGGCCTTGGTGATGACCTCGCCGGCAATAGTGTTGGTGACGGTGACTGGGTAGACATTGGTCTTGGTGATGTAGACAACATCGGTCTCGTACTTGGTCACATCAGGCTGCTTGACTTGCTCATATTCAGTTGTAGCAACCTTCTCCTCAATGACCTTGGTGGTGGTGTAAGTCTCGCAGACGACCTCACCAGCAATGGTCTTGGTGACAGTGACGGGGTAGACCTTGGTCTTATGAACGTATTCGACATCAGTAGCATACTTAGTAACATCGGGTTGCTTGACGTGCTCGTAGCCAGTGGACTTGACGACCTCCTCGATGATGCTGGTGGTTGTGTATGTCTGAGTGACAACCTCACCGGCGATGGTCTTGGTGACTGTCACGGGGCAGACAGTAGTTCGTGTCTTGTAGACAACATCGGTTTCATGCTTGGTCACATCGGGCTGCTTAACGTGCTCATAGTCGGTAGACTTGACAACGTCGTAGATAATGCTGGTAGTCGTGTAGACCTCAGTAATAACCTCTCCAGCAACAGTCTTGGTCTGGGTAACAGGGCACACTGTTGTTCTGGTAACGTAGTCAACATCAGTGTAGTGCTTGGTGACATCGGGCTCCTTGACTGTGACATCGACAGTCTTAGTCTCAGCAACAACGAGTGTTGAGGTAGTGAGCTTGGTCTCGCAGTAGGTGCTGTATATTGTTAGCATGTTGCAGTCTCTTGGTAGCCGTTGAAAAACTCACGTTCCCTCCTTATAATGAGTATAGGTGACAGGACAGACGGTTGTGGTGGTGTAGGTCACAGCGACCTCCTTAACCTCGTGCTCGTAGTGGCCCTTCTCCCCGTATCCTTCATCTTGTCCATACTCGTTCTCGCCAGTCTCGTAGTCTTTTCCGCTCTCAGAGTCTGGGCTCTCGTACTCATCTCCTCCCCGCCGGATGTTGTTAGCCAGGGCCGATGTGGCCAAGACCAGAAGAGCAGCACCGAACTTCATGATGAAGAAGGTTGAGAGGATTTGCGATGTCAACGAAGGTGTTATAAAGCGAGTGCAAGCTTTGAGCAAGCGATGGTGGTTTGATTGAGCGAAGGTAGAAGTAACCTGAACGAGTTGGTCACTTGTGTGTACACAAATCCAATCAAGGCTGATCGAGAAGTGAGAGAGGCTGAGATGGATGGAAGAGATGGAAGGAAAACCTGAGAAGGTTGCATACTTATATCTGTAACTTGTCGAACCAGAACCTACCTTGGATGAGAGATTGGCCGAGTTGGCCTTGACAACCTCCAAACTTTCCAGGCCAAGTCACCCAAGAGACTTCACTTCTCAAACTCCACCCTTGGTTGCATTAGTCTGACTCTACCTGCGAGGGGACGATAATCATCATGAGGGAGGGGTGCGAATATTGGCAAGATGTGATACGGGCATCGTGAGTCCGACCACTTTCAGAGGGAATCAGAGGATGTGGCTGGAGTTCACTGGAGCAACCGTGATGCAGGAGGGATGCAATCGAGAGGACTAGCTGGCTAGCAATCGGCTGGGAAGGGCAATAGGTTTCCTACAGCGGGAGCCTGGGTCGACAGTGAGCCAAGACGTGATGTCAATATCATGCACGGAGGTCAGCGATACTGTGTTGGTTAATGGCCAAGACAATTGGGAGCTCATTTGCGTAAGGTTTCGAAAGCTCCCCCTAGCTAGGCAGATCCGCAACAACAGGGCCGAAATGTCGGCCTCCCTCCAAGCTCAACAAAAGATCCTGCCCTTCTCAGTGGGCGAGGCTACCAGGTTGTCAGGTTGTGTAAGGACAGGCCGTATTAAACCGCTTGATTTGGCCATTCACTTAATCAATTGATCACTGGATCAGCCTGCATTCAGTCTGGGAACCCAGTAAGACGGGAGACGGCATAAGAAGCTAGTATGAGACCTGTACACGAGGGAGCCTGCGATATCTGTGTAAAAGACAGCAAATGGAGGGAATGGGGACTGCATCTCAACGGAACTGCGTAGCACTCGGTGGCCTATAGCGGCGGGAAGGACAAGCTGGGTCAGAGGAGAGAAACTCGTGTAAACAAAAGAGGCGGAAGCAATGCAACTCGGGCTGGATGGCAACATCAGCCAGCGTCGACGATGCAGGTTGAGCCAAACTCATTCTGCCAATATGCACCTAGCAAAGTATACGGTAACCGAAGCTGTACTATATCAAATCACGGTATGAGCGGTTTGTCGTCGATGCAAACTGCGGGACCGGTCACTCCGTTGAAGTTTGGTACTGTACGCAAAGAATCGGCATCTTGGACGTTTAGTGTCCAGCAGCCAATAAACTCTGGAGCCTCTTGGAGCTAGGGCAGTCCAGGAACCCAGCATCGCTACGTGGGCGGGAGACTTGGCGCCATGTCAGCCATGACACAAGAAAGACGCAGAAACCTGCTTGTCGTGATAGCAAAAGAGCATGAGTAAGGTGGTTGTGGTTAGCATTGTAACCTTAGAGATAACTGTAATGTTAAGGTGGGTGAGCAGAGGCAGCATGTAAGAATGTCAACAAGCCTCATGAGGAGAGTGTTCGCTTAACAAGCAGAGACGCCTTGCTTGAGATGGCTAGTGAGGATCATCCACCCCATGCATGTATATGTCGCCAATCGACGATTTGCTCGTGATAGTGAGGCCAAAGAAGTGCCTTGGTTCTGGGGACGTGGGGTCCCCCGAGCATCTGAGTTGGAGCCTCCGGGGATTTGTTAGTGAATATTTCCGTTGTAACTATAACATTGTCGATTGTGAATACCCAGGCAGACTTGGCAGCCGGATCAATGGGCCGAGAAAAGAGGCGGTCGGGGTAAAGAAATGGCTTGGTTTCCTGTACCATCTTTTTCCCATATAGGAATTGTCGAGCGGAGTGGCCAGAGAACCTTGAGCACACCAGCCATCACAACCGCGTTGATATAAGCCACACGTAGTTGCTCTGGCACGTGGCTGTTGTCTTAATCGAAGCTCCCGGAGGTCGGGAGGCAGATTCGATAAACAAGTCCATGGCTGGAAATTGATTGAATGGCTACCTAGAAGCTCACGATACACCACTTGAAGAAAAGAGAACTGGCGGGGGGCTTTGAAACTGGTCTTCGCGATGGCCGGGTTCTACGGACGGCCATGTGGTTCAGAGGTCGGACGGCGAGGATATCGAATGCGGGCGCCTTTCGCAAGCGAAGCACAGCATTTTCGTCGATTACTGGCCATTACGAGATAGAACTGGGGGTCGGAACCAATTGACATGTCAGGTCTGACAGAGAATGGAGGATTAGCCAAGGACAAGCACGAGCAACCAGTTTGATAGCACAGCATGAAAGAATGCACTCAACAGCTGCAGCCACCACGCCTTGTGCTTGTGAAAGCCTGTTTTGTTCTCTCACCTGGTGCCCACTGCCTGGATGCTTGAGGCAGGGAGGAAGAAGAGCTGTTGGCCATGGAGTCAGTGGTTTCTTCCCTGGATGAATGGATTAATCCAAGTCAACAACAAGGGAAGGGAGGGATGGAGGTCAATGTCGCATCATAACATGGTCCCTAGCGTATCGGTCCCGTGTCATTAGCGCGCACCATAATGAGACGAAACAACCAATGCTGAGCTAGATGCCGCCATAGTTGTCTCGGCGTGCTGTAGTGGTGTGGAGGAATAGGGCGTTGAATACGAGAGAATGTCCCCTGGAGGGATTGGGTTTTTTGAGTAACAATAGGTAACGGTTGTGGTTGTGGTAGCCTGAGGAACCGAACACCACCTCACTAACAACGATCCAATACAGGCAACTACCAACCCACCTCACTGACTGACTGTTGCCAGTATGTGTAAGTGGTAATTTCATCACTCAAACTCGCCATATCTAAAGGCCTTTAATGCTAAATCTCTCAAGTAACAAAAAGCACCAACAGTGCCCAAGTAAGGGGACAAGAGTTACAGCAGAGACATACTTAGTTTCGACATTTTGCAGCTTTCAACCCGTACGTGCATGACGCCAAATCAGCCATGATCCAACACTGACGAACCAGCCACCGCTATCCAACTCAGTTATCTGCAGTAAGAACATATCGAACTGATGCTCTGTGTCTTTGCACATTCGAGTTACACCACGCTAGTGACCCGAGGGTGAACTTATGTCCTCTCCGGGAATGGTTGCCACGAGGATGAGGCCTTCATGACATCAGATATGAAGAGTATCTCAAAGATCAAAGCTGTTGTAACTTAAGCTTGGACACTTCAGCGAAAGCATTCCCAATACGAAACGAACTAATCAAAATTATAGCAGGTTGCACGGCAATCAAGGTGTAGTGTAGCAGAAGGGCTCAATAAACAGCTGTACCTAGATTGGCGCTCTTCGTATCCAGGTGGCGTGGTAGTCAGTCACTGCTGTAGCCTATTCTGCTATAGCAGCCACATCTTGTAGCCTCACGAGTTGCCAACACAACCTCAATACCGCTACGGCAGCTCCTCGAAATCGAACAAAGTCAATCCCGCTCTGTCCGGGGGAAGGTCGGCGGGGAAAGCTCTCGAGCCAAGGATAGCTGAGCATGGCCAAGCACGTTACTGACAAGTTTCCTCTTGTTTTTTCCAACTCTTGCTTGGACCTTTACCCAACTTTCATGTCCGCTTGTATCCCCAAGATGCACGTGTGGGTGTGCCCACTCTGTCGATTAGTAGATAGAGCTACTGCAGTGAGAGCTCAAGGTGTTGTGCTCCATAGACTCATCATTGGCTGGTCTCGCATATCATGCTTTCTTTTCCCCTCTCTCTGTGCAACTAGCAAATCAGGCACAGCTGAGCTGTGTGTACCTTACAGCAGGACGAGAGCACAGACGGAACAGCTCAGGCGTTGCTGTGTTGTATTTGTGCCGCGCTGTGATAGCCGATCATGTCTCATCACTTGCAGTACGCAAAGACAAGAGGGACATTATGAGGCCCTGAACTGGATAGAGAGAATATCCCTTTAGCACTGTATCACTCAACAACAATAGAGTTACCACCCTTGAACAAGACCCAGTCGTATCATGACTTCTCATGCAAGGTCATGCAGGCTCCACCAATGGTCAACCTGGTCACTTTTCTGATATCCATCCCATCCCTCCACAGAGACCCATAGTCATATTGAAACGAAACAAAGCGATTTGATGAAGTATATCTTTTAAAGTTATAGTATCAGCATAAGGCTTCAAGCTTATTTCCATCAAGTCTCAAACGTCATGACTTTTTTTTACTTTTTCCTGCCCCTTGCTAGCCTCCCTCTTTCAATGTCTCCGCCCTTTATTAAGCTGTTGTCTGGGAAATCTCACCAATGCTTGCTAACTTACTAAACATCGTGGGGGAAACTTTGCTGACTCTGCCTCCCACTGAATTGCTAGTCTCTTGTCTGGCCAAGAACTTCTTGCTTCTCTGCTTCTTTCGGTAGTTTCCGTTCCGAGAAATGATTGCGTTTTGGACCCCAATGTGAAAGCAAACCTCGTGTCGGTGTTGGCAAGGACTCAACTAACTAAATGCAGCAGACTTACACATAGCAAGGATATGAACTAGCTGCACGTGGAGAAAGCATGGCCATAAGAAAATAGTTGATTTACATGGGTAGTTTAAACCCGGGCAAGGCCTGATCACGATTGCGGTGAAATAGCCTGTATTCTGCTGACAACATGCATGCCTGCCTTACCACCCACTGAACAGCCTCAGAAAACTCATGATGCATGCATATCCAAGGCTTAGCAAAGCCCTATAGCCTGGGCGTTGTCATACGCCTGACTCACTGGCTTAGAAGTCGTAGAACTCTAGGTTGAAAGTTGGATCGGATGTTACCCTATTGGACGTGCTACACATCCGTGCAGCTCGTTTCTTCCTCGCTGTTGAGCTTCCAGCATATCAAAGAACATCTTTGGTTTCTCAAGCTTTGATTGATGCTTTAACCCACCCATGTGTTCCACCGGAATCACACTGTCCCGACTTTATGTTACTTGGGCCATCTCCCACGTTTCTCAACATTCCCTCTCTAGGGTAACCATCCTCTATCTTGTATGAGGTATACCTCGTCGTGTCACTCTATGTGTGTACATCTCATGACCATAATTTTGTCATCATTTTGCCGTCTTGTATTCATAAGCCATCACCATACCATATCATGAGACAAATAGAATCTGAGGCTTCCATCATGTTCGCCAACCACAAACGGGTCGCTTTTTAACCCAGTGCGCATTGAAGCTTCCAGGCTACTGCCACCAAGGGGTCATCCTCGAGAGCAGACCACACCAATCATACAACACCCTTTAAGCCTTGGGAATCTTCTCCAGCTCCTGAACAACAGCATCACCAACCTCCTCTGTGGTAGTGTTACCACCCAGGTCCTTGGCGTGCAGACCACCTTTCAGAGCCACACGGATAACCCCCTCAACAGCCTTGGCCTCCACGGGCAGGTTGAGAGAGTAGCAGAGAATCATAGCAACAGATAGGATCGTACCAAATAGTTTGGGGACGCCCTTTATATCAAGAATATGGCTCAAGTTAGCGCTGGGCAGAAGGCCGATGCTGGGGGTAATACTAGGCCCATCATTGATGGTATCACCAGGTGCTCGGCCTTATGATCAGGAACACCTCCTCAAATGTCTCCGTCATGACCTTTCGTCGCAAGTAAATAGCCTTGTCAAAAGATCCCACCTTCTTGTCGCCGCGACCACGGGCAAGGAACCCAACCATATGGTCAACACGCTCAGCCTTGGTATAGGAGTAAGGTTTTGTGTCTCATCTGAGCCGGAATTTACGCTCGCTAAAGTATACAGCGCCGGTGTGTACAGGGATGATGATAAAACTGTGCCGCAGCATACAGAGGCTTCGGGGAGAGAGACGTCAACCAGAGAGCCAGACGCGAAGAAACAAGGCCACAGCTTGCCGTATATGTCTATCCCCTTGCGAAGCTTCAGAAGGCCTGGCTCGGGTCGGACAGCGCCGTTGCCACATGCGGGACCGCCGAGAAGGACGGCATCAGCACTCTTTGCGGCGGCGATGGTCTCGTCAGTGAGAGCGGTGCCATGGGCATCGATGGAGCACTGAGACTGTCAGAGCTGACTGTGTGCATGCAATGTGTGCTCAGAACTTACACGGTCCATAAGATGGTTTTAGAGGTTCAACTTGCCAACGCTTGGCTGGCTTTCCTCGAGAGTTTGAGACTCTGATTGACCAGGCAGCTAGTTATTACGCTCTTTCTGTAAGCTGTTGCACATGCTGCCTTGCCATAACGTCCTCAGCAACAATCTATTCGTAGTTCGCAGTCGTTCGAGCCTTCAACTCCGAAGCTCAGGGCCGCAGTGGCCACCAGCAGGCATGACAATGTTGTATTCGACTTTTGGATTAGTTTTGAGACTATGGAGTTGATCTACAATAAGAGCAAAACAAGACAAAGAGAAGAATGCCCGACCTTGTTTGCTGGACCTCTGTTGCTGCCCCACCATTCCGAGATCGGGGCCATACCAGTAAACTCCGTAGGCCGGCTTTTGCCTGAGTGGTCCGGTCCACTCGGGCCTTGCGGCAGAGCTAACGGAAGTGGGCATTCAAGGCATTGGCCAACGAGAGAAGACGTCAAGGTCATTTTGGGTAGTAATCGGAAGCTCTGGAGTTCTCCATGTTTCGAGGACTCGACCATCTCAGGATTCCTGACTATTCCATTCCTGCTGTGACCACCACGCGTGGACTATATATTTGTCGTGTTGACCCCTACATGACCTTGATGGCATGTGCTCACTTGGGCCATCTTCTAAACAACTGCGGATTACTTAAACCCTGAATGTAATATTTTTGTCTGAAATGCCAGTATTTATTTATGTACTCGATCAAATGTATTCATTATCCAGTACTCCTATCATCCGGTCTACTCCTTCAACAAATGCTCATACAACCTGTTACCTTATCGAAACGCCCTAAATGATTTGCTCGCCAATGGAGACGCTACGGGTACTCCTCCCATCAAGTTTCCACGTCCCGTATCTCGCATCCGGCCTCCTCGCATGTTCGGTGTGTTAGCACAGAATGAGCAGACATACACTCTTGGTTGAGTCCTGAGGTCGAGATTGATACACTTTCCGTGGAGCCACATTTCACAGGACTCGCTATATTAAATGTCAGCTCCGTTCATGTTAAATCTTCGACAGCCATTTGCTCAGGTGGCCATAGGCTGGCAAAACTTACCACTGGATCATGGAGCCGTCCCCCTCGTCAGCCCCCTTTCGGTTACAGAGACATCTGACGTGTCTGTCTGTTATAAGGCTTGACTCGGTAAGGGTCGACGGCGAGTTGCTGTCACCTCGAAAAGGACCAAAGTGTCCACCCTGGAACGAACGGTGTTGTCCTCCTTGTCCCATTGGGTTCGATCGCTTTCTTCGATCCTCCATGACCTTACGAAGCTCGCTAGCAGCATCCCCAATCTTGTCCTTGCGCTCATACATCATCGTCTCATTCTCACTGTCCGCATCGTGTTGCGATCCTCCAATAGTATCGTGTATGCTGCTCGTGCTCCTGTCACTAACACTACGTCGCGAAGAGTGAAAGATGGACCCAACTGGTCTCAGGGGATCAGGTAAAGCAAAGGACGCATTGAACGAGTTATTCCTGCTGGGAATAATGATAGGCTCGTCGTCTGAGGATGATTCGTCATCGTCCGAAGGACCCAGGTCTCGTGGTGTTCGACTCCTATCACGAGTGAGTCCCGGATGATTGGTACTAGGCTCCCAGTCCCATTCATTAGGTACGATCGTTGTCTCTGCACGAGCTCTGCCCCTCGAGTCGATGGTGAACTTCACAGCTGTTCGAGTGGATTGGTGTTGCAGTGCTGGCCCCTCAGGGATGGAGGCTAAGCCTGAAAGGCGGTGCTGGCTCTTCATTGGAGACAACCTTCCGGTTGGTTTGGCTATAGGCCGATTCGGGGGTGCATTGTCGCTAATGGAGCCATTGCTGGCTTGTGAGACAGGTCGGGCCGGTGCAAGTTTGGGTAGTACAGGTCGGTTCTGTGGTTGTGCTCTCTTGCCACGGTTCTCGCTGAAACTCCTACCCATTCCAGGTCGAGGGTTTGCTTTGACAGGGGATGGTGCAAGTGCACGATCCGGTGCCTTTGTAGCCCTTAGGTCCTTCATGCTCGTTGATTGGCGGATGTTTTCACCCAAAGGTGTTCTTGATCTCGATTGGAAAATCGTGGCTTCAGCGGAGCCAGCCTGTGTCACGGGGATGAGAGCAGGGTTATCCAAAACAGAATTGTGTGGAGGTTCAAACAGCAATCCAGGGTTTACTCCATTCATGGACTGTCCAAGTCCAAAAGGGTCATCTAGAGGAGCGGAAAGGGCAGCAGACATGGCAGCACTTGCTGTAGTAACACCTGTCGAGCCCATAGGTTTTGGTGCAAGAGGACGGTCACGTTGCATGGTTTGCATAGGGTCTGAACCTGCAGAAGCGAATGGTGCATTAGGATCTTGAAAGAGCGGTACCTCGCTGTTCCAGTCGAAGGAACCTGTGTGGCGGTGATGACCATGCTGAACAGGTGTCGTCTGAAAGACATTGGAAGGCGATGCACTAAAGTCAAAGTCCATACCCATTGAAGGATCCCAGAAAGTGTTAGGTGTTGCAGCAGGTGCTGTCATGGGGTATGCAAACATGTCACCAGAGGAAGCCATCAAGGCAGCAATATCATGTTGCTGTTGTTGTTGAGAGTTGCCAGTGAAGTCGGGCTGGCCGAAGTACTGATCATTTTGCATATTGAGCTTGTCGGCGAGCTTCCGCGCTCCCCTACGTCCAGTGGGTGGGGGTGTCACTGTCTGCGAAGGCTCTGCACCCCGGACTCCGGCTTTCCTAGCCTTCTTGGAGGATTGAGGGTGTTTGGCCGGATCAGGACTGGGCAGGGGTGTTGTATCGGTTATATATTCTTGAGGTACGGTTACTGAATTCGGGGATGAGGCCAAGCGACGTGATGGCTCGACCGGCGGCAGTGGTAGATTTTGGTCCGAAAAGTGGTTCACATGGGTTGCAATTTCAGCAGCAAAAGTGTCGTTGGATAGTAGCCTCTTGTGCTTGCTGGAAGGTGTGGAAGCACGAAAGTCAACGAAAGAGTTTTGAGATCCACGGAGATTTCCAGGAGTCGAGTTGAATACGGAATATTCTTCAGCAAAATGCGGAGTCCAACCCCCGGCGTCGGTGACTGAACCTTGCCCGGGTTTGGGGGTTTCGAAAACGGGACTGGGAAAGGAGTCGGAGACAGGCGTTTCTGCACAAGTTGGAGGGCGGTAGTTCGAATTGGTAAAACTGTACAACCCCGGATTGGTCAGTGAATTTGATACGGATGCCATGTTGATGATAGATCGGTTGATGATGAGGGGAAGAATTGGGCAATGCTGTGAATTGAGCTTGCCTTGAAGCCAGTTGATCCCCGTTCATAGCAAATCTAATTGCTTATCATAAAAGACCAACTCAGTTGCAGGCCGAGGGGATGCTTCGAGTTCGAGGTTGATGATGTGCACGGTCGGTTACGTTGCCGTAGTAGAGCACTAGCAAGAGCTGAAGTTTATGCAAAAAAAGCCGGAGAATCGTACTGGAGAAAAATTTGAAACAAAAAAACAAGGTCGAAAGATTGCAGTTCGTTGATCGGGATCGTGTCTGGTAGAGTGTCGAGCTCGGCGTGGGCAGGCTGTGACGGGTAGAGAAAGATGGAGAGAGAAAGTCTATTCAGATGTCGCAGGTCGGTCGGTGCTCGTAGGGCATTATACAAGGTCGTAAACGATCATGGAAGGACGGAAGAAAGGCATTAAGGTCTAAGACTGTTTTGCTTGGACAAGCATGATTGTAAGCCACTGATGATAAAAAGAGCAAATGTGTTGCAAAGGGAGGAATGAAGTCGGAATGGAATACGGGATGGATAGGTAAGCCCCGATAAAAAAAGAGGAGGGGCAGGGAAGAAGGACCAGGTTAAAGAAAGGGAGACAACAGTTAAAGCAGGGAGGAAAATAGAAACCCCCGCCAAATGACGCCAGAGCAAACGGATAAATAGAAACAAAGATGGATCGTTTGAGTCTGGAGATTGAGACTGGGCTTGTGTCTTGTCTCGTTGTCAATGGAGATAGAGGATGGATGGATGGATGCTGTTGAGTGGGATGATGGAGCTCATGTTGATGGGGATACCGAGGCCAGAGCTGAACAGATGCAGAACTAAAAGCAGAGAAACAGAGTAGACTATCAGATTGGCCATACCTTGACTTCCATTAAACAGAGTTATTTGATCGGTTCGCAGATTCGTCTCGTCTGGTCTCGCCTCGTCTTGTGTCGTTCCGTCCCGAGTCTTCTCCTCCTCAACTCTCGTATATGATGATGTCGTGATCTTGCGGGTGCCGACGTCGAGGATACCCTCTTCAGTTTAGGCAGAAGAAGGTTGAAGCGGTCCGTTCGTTTGCTCGCTTCGAGTCGGTAAATTCTCGATGGGAATGGATTGGATGGATTGGATAGGATAAGACTGCACGGGACGGATGCAGTGGATACAGTACGTGCCCGACCTTCCTATTTACAAACTACCTCACCTACCTACCTACACCTGAGCTGAACTCGACAGTTGAGCTGAGCTGTTTGCAGACGGGAACTAGGTAAGGGACTATATATCTCGTGGTACCGAACGAGAGAAAACACAAACAACTGCGAGAGACAACAACTAGATAGGGCTGAGCAAAAAATTAAAACCCATGAACATTTATTAAAATGAATCTACAACTTCGAGATCGCAGGCTTGGTGGCGCATCAGCGCCTCTTCCTCCTCAACTTAGCCGTTGTTGGGCAACCGCCGGTAACGCTCTTCAGGGGCCTTCAGTGCGCTACGGACCTCTGCCAGCCAACCGCTGGAACAGTCCTAGACTAAAAGAGGTACTGCCCGAAACCAACGGCTCAGCTCGTGAGCTGGGAAGATAACAAGAACACTGACTATTTAGGTATTCAACGCGATAGCCGTTGATTCAGTCATTGCGAGTTGCTAACCTCCAAAGCAAACTGTGGCTGGTTAATCTTGAGTTGTGATGAGCTCAGCAGCTGAAGGGGTTGTTATGAAACTATCTCATCATGGTTGCACGCTATGACTCCCGTCATAGAT